GTTTAATCTATTGATAGTTTCTTTTGCTGTGCAGAAGCTCAGTTAATTAGATCACATTTTTCAATTTTTGCTTTTGTTGCAATTGTTTTTCACATCTTCTTCATGAAGTCTTTGCTAGTGTCCATGTCCTGATTGGTATTGGCTAGGTTGTCTTCTAGGGTTTTTATAGTTTTGGGTTTTACATTTACGTTATAAACCATCTTAAGTTAATCTTTGTATATGGTATAAGGAAGGGGTCCAGTTTCAAGCTTCTGTATATGGCTAGCTGGTTATACCAGCACCATTTATTGAATAGAGAATCCTTTCTCCATTGCTTGTTATTGTCAGATTATCAAAGATCAGATAGTTGTAAGTGTGCAGTCTTATTTCTGGGTTCTCTGTTCTGTTGCATTGGTCTATGTGTCTTTTTTGTACTAGTACATGCTGTTTGGGTTACTGTAGCCCTGTAGTATAGTTTGAAGTTGGTTAGCATGATGCCTCCAGCTTTGTTCTTTTTGCTTAGGATTGCCTTGGCTATTTAGGCTCTTTTTGGTTCCATATGAATTTTAAAGTAGCTTTTTTTCTAGTTCTATGAAGAATCTCAATGGCAGTTTTGGAATAGCATTGAATCTATAAATTGCTTTCGGTAGTATGGCCATTTTAAAAATATTAATTCTTCCTATCCATGCATGCTACTTATTTTTCAATACTCAATTCAAAGATATCTCTTTAATGAAACATTTCCTAGCTATCTCTACTTCTCCACTTCCTTATTTATGCTCCTTTTTCTATCATAACACATAAAATGACTTATAGTATTTGTGCATTTATATGACACATCTTAACTATTCATGCATTTCCAGCACCTATATCTTGGCACAGAGTAGGCACTGAGTGTTTGAAGGAATGAGTTAATACAATTTAAGGGATGCATCTATTCTTAAATGAAATATAGAAGTTTATTTTAAATTTGTATAAGCTTGTTTTGAATTGAAAAACATTCTTCTGTAGTAACTGTTACATGGCTCTTGGATGCAGCCAGAGCACAGATAAAACTTTGACACTGAAATAGTTTAATTTTAGCCTTTCCCACCTCAGTCACTGCTCTTTTCCTCCCTTAATGTTCATTCCCTTCCTAGGACCCAGAGTCCTCAAGCTTACATATCAGAAATCCATAAAACTTGCTTTATCATCAAAAAGTCCCATGCTTCAAATTAGGATCCCATTCAGTTCTCTTTATCAAAGCTTCTTATAGTCCATTTCAGTTTAGGTGCTGAGATTTAAAAATCTAATTGAATTAAAAAGATATCACCTAATGCTCTTCTCTCAAGGATTTTCATGTGTTGAAATTGGCTGGACTGTCAATTCAAGTAAATTTTACGTTTTGGATTTTAAGCTGGATAAGAAAAGTGAGTAAAACAATGCAGGCAGGTAGTGAAAGAAAGATATTTCCGTACAGAAGAAAGCAGCTTGGATAATTCAGCCAAGAGACTCTCTCTGCCCAGCAGGAGTTGTGGGGGGCGGGCCACCTTCTCCCTCTTTTTCCAGGGCAAAACATTCAAATATTAAACACTCAAATGATTGGTATTTAGCAATTTCATAAATATTGTTGAATGAAAAAATGAGGCAAGCATTTAAAACTTTTTTGCACAAGAAGAAATTGATGTTTAAAGAGGTCTAGTTTCCAAGGTCACAAAGAGAGTAAGTGACACAAGTGAGATGAAAATTCAGATCCAAATGTCAGTTACTCTTTCAAGCCTACTGCAGCTGTCCCAGAGGCACTTATTTCCTCCTCTTGTTGGCTGCAGGAGCCACAGACATCTTGAGAAGCTTTCCTGCAAGAAGTCCTCTGCCCACCTGATAGGCCCTGCCCCCACCACATTACACTAAGGGTGACAGTCCAAGAGATTTTGTTGTCCCAGAAGGAAGCCCCCTGTGCTGGAACAGTATGGAGAGGGGATATGAGAGAAAGTGCTTACTTCTAACTTAATGTAGAATCTATTGGAACAGGTAACTGGCAGTGGAGACAAAGAGATGTGTGTGTACAACCCTGACTCCATTCAGCTGTTTTTTCCATGGAAAAAGCATTATAAGCAATGAATATTTTAAAATATAATTGGCTTTTATTTTTAAATTAGTTCTTTTCAAATTAACTGTCTTATAACATCAATCTTATGAGAGAGGAAAACATCCAAATTCACATTACTGATTTCTGAAGAACTTATGGAACACATCTGTTAGTAAGATGGGGACTTAACTTTTCCCAGGCTTCCCCTCCACCACCCTACAACCATATTTACAATGACCTTCTACTGTTGCATACCCTGTCATGACCTTAACATTCTCAGTGACTAAAAGAGCACTCTAAATTAAAAGTTTTAAATAGGTGTTTTGTAAGTTATATGGCTGGGAAACCCTTGATTTTATCCACAGAGCAGTCGGTAATTATTTTAAGAGAACTCCATGGAGCCAATTTCATTATAATGTCATTAGAAACCATACAGTTTTAGATGCTTCATCATTCTTTGAAAAAATAGACTCAGATAAGCTGTTGACTTTAGGTAATTGTATTTGTCTGCTCTCACACTGTGAATAAAGACCTACCTGAGTTTGGATTTTACAAAGAAAAAGAGGTTTAGTGGACTCACAGTTCCACATGGCTGGGGAGGCCTCACAATTATGGGAGAAGGCAAAGAAGGAGCAAAGGCACATCTTACATGGCAGCAGGCAAGGGAGCATGTGCAAAGGAACTGCCCTTTGTAAAACTATCAGATCTTGTGAGACTTATTCAGTATCATGAGACCACCATGGGAAAAACCTGCCCCCATGATTCAATTACCTCTCACGACACATGGGGATTATGGGAGCTACAATTCAATGTGAGATTTGGGTGGGGACACAGCCAGACCATATCAGTAACAGAAGACAGAAATGTGGGTGCCTAGCCTTAAACTCCCTCTGTTTGCAATGAAGTGAACGAATGATAACTATCAAACCAAGTTTGGCTAAGGGGTGAGGTTTTTAGTATTGAAAGATGAGTGGAACATAGTTCAAGAAAGGGAAACAAGGAAGACAGAATGACATGGAGATTGTCTCTGTGAAAGCTTTCTAACAGTCCCACCATCACTACCTCCCCTGTGGAAATGACCACACCTTCCTCTACCCTCCTCTGTACCTGGTACATCTGTTATGGTACTTTTAACAGATGCTTAACTCTCAGTCTCTAAGACTGTGAGCCCCTTGAGAGTGGGGACAATTCCTGAAAATGGATGGAGAGGAAGAAAATGTCCATAGGCCATTAGATATAAAAATATGAAGATTAGAGAGGTGATATCTCCTAAGGTATCACCCCAGGAGACCATACTGAGTGGGAAGACTAGCACACTATAGGGAGGAACACAGTGAAGGGGCTTGGCTCAGACACAAGTAGTATCAGAGGAGATCTAGAGTGGGAGATTATGTAATTGAGGTCCAAGAAGGTGAGAATGGAAGAGTTTACTGAATCCGCCAATGCTGAGGCCACCTGTTGGTTTGCAGAACAGTATCAGTGGGGAGGGCTGATGCCATATTGCACTGTGGTGGGAAAGATAGGAGATGAAGAAGTGGAGAACACAAGTGTAGATCTTTCTTTCAGGGAGCTTGGCCAAGAAAAGGAATTGCTAGAAGAAAGCATTTTGTGTGTGTGTGTGTGTGTTAAGGATAAGAGAAGACTGACGAAGTATTTAGCTTGAGAGAAGGGAGTTGACAGAGATCAGTTGAAGATTCAGTAGAGAGTGAAATGATAGAGAAAAATCACAGACTAGAAAGGGAGGGGATGGGATCAAAGACCCTGTTGTGAGGAGAGACCTCCAAGTAAGAAAGCTCTTGGTAGGGATGCTAGTTGGAGACAGAGTGTTGAGGGAGTTGGATGAAGGAGACTACTTCAAAAGACAGTGGGGAAAACTTCTAATAGTTGCTGAGAAGCATCGATAACAACTAATAAAAAGAGTAAGGCACAGACCTGAGGGTGAGTTGGGATTGGAGGTCATGAATGAATGTGCACAGGCACCAAAACACCCTACGTCCTCATCCATCAAAGGCTACACAATATATCTTCAAGAGTAAATATCTAGCCAAGCTTGGTGGCTGATGCCTGTAATCCCAACACTTTGGGAGGCCAAAGTGGGCAGATCAGTGAGCCTAGCAGTTCGAGACCAGCCTGGGCAACATGGGGAAAACCCATCTTTACAAAAAACACAAAAATTAGCTGGGCATGGTGATGCAAACCTGTGGTCCCAGCTACTTGGGAGGATGAGATGAGAGGATTGCTTGACCCCAGGAGGTTGAGGCTTCAGTGAGCTATGATTGCACCCCAAAATTCCACCCTGGGCAAAAGAGTGAAGCCCTATCTCAAAAAAAAAAAAAAAAGAAAAAGTAGATCTCCTTTAGCACTGTATCTCGGCAGTGTAGTTTTATGTGTTAATTGGTTCTTCCTTCCCCCTTCTTTTCTTCGTTATCTCTCCTCTGCTCTCCAACATGCATGAATTTTCCCTCTTTGTTACTCTGTCAGATTGGGTCGTTTTGGAAAGAGAAAACCAGCTAAGTGAATCTATTTTTTTCACAGCCTTCCTGTGAGGAGGCTTACTGGGTTCACAGTAGAGTGAGGCTTCAGGACAGTGTCTCCCAAGGGCTTTCTTTTAGTTTCGGAGGTCTGATCTGGCTCCAAAATTCTCCAGCTCTTCAAACTTTGTGTTACTGCGTGTCTACTCAGTCAAAAATGAACTTCAGGAGAAGTTGAGTTTATAAGAAAGTACAGACATGCTGCCTTTGTTGGTGGTTAAACTTTTATCATAATCGTGAATAGTTGAGGAGACTTTTCATTTTAGAACTCTACTCATTAGTCAATAGGTGCATTATGAAAAACTGGATACATTGCATCACTGTGAAGAACTTCTGACTGCGGTTTGCAAAAGCAGAATAAATTTTCTTGGGGTTGTACCGTTATGTACACACAGACACACGCACACTCACACTCACACTCACACGCCCATTGGCAGACAGGGCCACACCTCACGGCTCTGGGGAAAGCCACAGACCTCAGAAAGCCACAGGCTCTGTACTAGTAGGAGCAGAGCCTGGACTAGAGGAACTTTCCACAGGACTCAGGGCACACAGCCCCACGGCCACGACCGTGTGTGAGCCCGAGGTGCAGGGGGGCGCCGGTGGCTGCAGGTACGCTGCGCACCAGCATCAGGGACTGGGCGGTGCAGCGGCGGCAGCCGCCGGGGCCAGTGTGTAAGCCGGCTTGCCCGGGAGAGCCGCATCCCCCTGCGGCCCCTCGCAGCCTCCTCGCTTCCCGGGAGCCGCTGCCGCTTCAGGGCCGCCCAGCGTGGCGCTCGGGGCAGGACCACCCCGCCGCCCGCCTCGGCCCAGAACATGGCTGCGCGCCCTGCCGCCACCCTCGCCTGGTCGCTGCTGCTCCTTTACTCAGCCCTGCTCCGCGAAGGCTGCCGGGCGCGCTTCGCCGCCGAACTGGACTCGGAGGACGACGGAGAGGAGCCGGCGGTTTTCCTGGAGTCGCCCCTGCAGAGCCCCACGGTGCTCGTGGCTGTCCTCGCCCGCAACGCGGCGCACTCACTGCCGCACTTCCTAGGCTGCCTGGAGCGGCTGGACTACCCCAAGAGCAGGATGGCCGTCTGGTGAGCGCGCAGGGGCCCCGGGAGGCGGGGGCGGCCTGCCCAGCGCGGACAGCGCCCGGAGCAGCAGCTGCAGGGCGAGGAAGCCGCCGGGGGGCATGCGGGAAACCTGGCGCACACACCCCCTCGCTGCCCTCGCCAGCGACGGGCGGTCAGGCTGCGGAGGGACGCGCGGGTCGGTGTGCACAGGGGGTGCTGCTGGGGAGAACGGCCCGCCGGAGCTCTGGAGGGTAGTAGGGGGGTTGGGCGGCTTTGTCCCTCAAGGGAGCTTTCATTCCCCTCCCTTTCAACTCTCAAGGTTTCGTCTTTCCCCACCTCATACTGCTGGCCCTGAAGTGAGAGGATAAGGGGCCTGTGGCCTTGTTCCCCTGTAGACGCGACAGATGGAATATGACTGTGGTGGGCCGGGGGCTCCTCAGTGGCTGCGGCGCCGGAGTGCGCTGCTCTGACTTCCCGGTGTCAGGCTCCTGCTCCAGGCTGGAAATGTGCTCCTGGCTCCCCTAGGGGGACCTGGACCCAGGGGTGGAGATTGGGCGGGGCCCGCGGAGTGTGCCCAACTTCGCCACCGCCGTGAGCCCGGTCTCCTCCGAGCGCTCCGGGCTGTCCCTGCCAGCGCGTCCTCCTGGGTCGCATTCCCCGCCGCAGATGCAAAGCGCGTGGGGCACCCTGGGCTTCCGCGTCCGGGCGAGCAACGAAGACGCCTGGGAAAGATAAACAGCCGAATAAACAAGAATTTATTTGTTTATTCTAATAGGAATTTATTTGTTATTTTAATAGGAATAAACAAGAATTCATTCCTATTAGATACCCTGAAAAGGTGATTATTCTCAATGACCTATTCCAGTGTCTACAACTCCTGTTCTCAGGATATTGGTTTTTATCTATAGTCACTCTCCACAGCCTATTGAGATAGCTGCTGTTGTCTTGCATTATGATATTCTATGAAACATGTGCTCTGTCCTCAAGTACCACTGTTAAATTTCTCTGTCAGTCTTCTTTTTTGGCGCATTGGTGTTTTTAAATCTTTCACGTAAGTCTTGTTTTCCAAATAGCTCAATCATAAAAAAAAAAAAAAGAAAGAAAGAAAGAAAGAAAGATAAACAGCCGAGTTCTGTTCCCGAAGGAAAGAAGCTTGGATCCCGTCTCTGTGTCTGCTGCGGGGAGGGACAGGGATCAGTGCAGGGTGCTGCCCACACCACCTGCAGAACTCGGTCGTCTCGCACCTTTTATAAATGCGAGGATGGGAGGGCAAGAAGTTAGTTGGTGGCCAGGCGAGTCGCCGAGGGGCTTGTGGAGGACGAGAGGGTGGACGCTGGCCAAGGGAGATGGGCTGTCAGGTATGAGGACAAGAGGACTCTGGCCCCCTGAGGAAGACAGGGCCCAGGTCACTCTGGAGCAGTTTCTGGCTCGTGTTGATAAAGGGATCTGTTTTCAGGTGAGACATATACTTAATGCAGCTGTTGGGCAAACAGAGGAGGAGGAGGGGTAAAAGCACAGCTAGAATTGGCAGCCTCAGAGTACCTGCTGGGAGAGGTGCAAAGGTGCGAAAGCAAACATGTGATATAATACAGCACTATGCTGTACACTGCTTTACTGTACACTCTGCCGTACGTGACCGCCTCGCCGAGAAGGGCATGTTACATGGAAACAGAAAACTGGGACAGCCAGGTTTGAAACCAGAAGGAAAGATTTTTTTTAACCACTTCAGTGCCAAAAAAATGAACAAATATCAGTTACCTTATTTGCTTTTTTCAAGAGATATCTTACAATATGTTTTTCATCTCTATGCACAATTTAGTTTTTTAAAGCATTACAGTGTTTGCCATAAGAAGTTGGTGAGGGGCAAAGCAGTGTCAGGCACATGTTGCTACCCGATTTATAGACATTACCTCTTTTTATCATACAGTAAACTTTTAAGAGGATATTATGATCTTTATTTTACAAAGGAAGAGACAGACTTATATCAGTTCAGTAACTCAAAGTCACAGAATTAATAAATGGTGACACTGGAATTTGAACCCAAGCTTGTCCCCAAAGGCCACCTTATAAAGGCTGGGAACATGATATAAACAAAATTTGCATAAACCTATGAACTGCAAATTAGGAGACTTGAGTTGTTTATCACTGGCTTGATATGTGATTTGGGGCTCCTTGCTTAGGATCCTTAGGCATCAGCTTCTTCATCAATAAAACAAAGGACTTGGAATAAATGATTTCAAAAATTATTTCTGTCTCTTGAATTCCATAGATTTTGCAATATAATTAGGATCCACCAGCATCAATGTACATCCTATGTTCCCCGGAAGTTCCAGATTGTATGGACACTGGTGTTCTATTTAGATGAGAGAATTTCAATTCTGCACAGATCTTGGCAATGTTTTCCTTTATGTCTAGTGTTGGAAGGTTAAGCAAGAAGTGCAAGGCCTTGGTTGCATCAGTTATTGAAGCCTCTTCTTTGAAAAATCCTGGCTCTGTCTTTAAAACACAAAGAAGCTGAAAAAAACCTTTGGAAATAACTTTCATGCACTGTTCTCTCATTTGATTCTTACTACCAGTCTGTGAAGAAATAAACTTATCTCTATTTCCCAAAAGGAGAAATGTGTTTAAAATAATTGACTTACTCAAAATTACATTTATTTATAAATTCCACACATAATAATAAGAGCTCATGGTTCTTCGAAGAACTTTACATTCATTTTCTGGTTTAAGCTTCAAAATCACCCTATCAGATATGCAGTGTTACTATATCACTTTACAGGTGAGAGAACTGAGGTACAGAGAGACTGTACAAGCACATGCTTCTAATGCATTTTTTAAATAAGAACTGGCCAGATCAGGGCTGAAAAAAGTGTATTTAGATGCATGTGTGTGTGTTTAACAGACAAATACGGCTCTTTTCATTGGGCAGTGTAAGGTGATCTGAATAGCATTTAAAGGCTTCGGGGAAGAACCAAATGATTTCTAAATCAGATTGGGGCAGGCCTATGAATATGGATATCACTGGGTCAAACTAAGTGACAAGTTGACACTTAATTTGAACTAAGTTTTGAAGGATGAGTAAAAATCTAAAACCTGGGAAAGAAAGATGGCTCTAGAAAAAGGGGATCAGCAAGGCAAACAAACAAACAAAAAAGATAATAGGGCATCAACCAGAGTTTTCTGTCAGCAAGTTCAAGTGGGTGGCGGGCCTAATGACTGCAAGTCTCCAAATGGAGTGTATTGTACCGTAGGATCTCTCTGGAAACGCTGACTTCTGGCCTGGCCCTAGGGGAATATTTGGCTGGAAAGGGTATGGGATATAACATTCTGATGGGAGGTGGTACCTCAGTTCAGGATGTTACAGCTTTGAGGTGCTTCTGCTGATTACTTGCCTTTAGTTTCTCATTCCCATGCTCTATGCAATATTCCAAGATGCCAAACTGCTTAATATCCATTCTGCAAAGTCAGCACATGCTGCTGTCAAAAATGGCTGTGAGCTACCTAGAACTTCATAAAATAGAACCATATTGAATACAGAGCCACGTGGAATTCAGCTTCCTCTGAATCTGATCTCAGTACCTCACTCTGCAGACTCACTCTTCTCATTCATCCGCCTACGGACTTGAGGAGCATCTGATCTCTGTACTAGAGGAGTCATTGAGAGGCCTGGCTCACTGATCGCATTCAGACCCTGTTACGTGATTTTTTTTTCTTACTTTAAGTTCTGGACCAGATATGTACTGCACATACAGGTGAAATGAGTATCAACAAGTTGACCTGGAAAATTCTGCTGTTGAAGAATGTCTGCAGTTATCTCAGCATCAAGTTTATTCAGATTAGGCTGAACAAGGGAAAATTTTTATTTTAGAGATACTTTGTACAAGCAAAAAGGAAAGCTTTTTTACATTTACCTGTCTGATCTTAAAATCCACCAAACTAATTGTTTCCCTTCAAATATCACAATCCTATGATAAGGAACTAAGGAAGGTATCTATTTCGTGTGTCCTAAACCTGCACTAAGTTTTAGGGAATTGGGAATATGTTGAGATGAAGCGAACAGTGAGGCATTGTGACAAGTGGTAGTATACTTCAGTAGCTTCTCTTTAATTCAGTGGAGCCATAAGCAAGTAGCTTCAGCAACAGAGGGAAGGCTGACCTCATCCCTCTTAAATCTATGATTAGGGAGAGGGGGGGTCAAGTACCATGACAGTGAAACCTGAAGCATGGCACAGGGAAAGACATTTGCCCCAAATGAAACATTAAGTTTGTCGTTTGGAGAGCCTGCTGTTGCTTGTGGGAAGACAGTTGGATTCACAGAGTCTGTGCAGGCACAAGGCAATAACTGCTATGTAATTACAGAAAGATTTGGGCATTTTGTTTGCCACAGTTTTGAAAAGGAACATATTAAACTGGAAACCACTTTATGGATTTTTAAATAAAGAGATGAGCTTCTTTTGACATAAACATAAACAATGATGAGCTGCTTGTTCTGGGGGAATGATTCTAACATTTTACATACTACTTTTTCTCTGCATTGTTCGGGGATTATCTTGAATGTATCTTCACCTTTTAATGTCCAATCAGTAGCATTTTCATAACTGTTTAAAAATACTAATATATACTTTCTGTTTATGAAATGTTCAGAACTAATATCAGTGACAGTTTTCAGCACCAGTGGTAAGAATGATGCCATATTTTATCATTACAATCTTGATAGTAAATGTTGCATGTTATCTCTATGGATAGAAGTTTTGGTTTATAGTTGAAAAAGTAGATGATGTTTTAGTCCACTTTTCTCTATTAGTCTGTTTTCCTCACCTTTCTCTTCCTTTCCCCATTTCCCCAAACTGGTAGTTTGGCATGGAGGAAGAAATATATAAGCTTAAGGTCAGATAGACTAGAGCACAAATCTTCTGTGTGATTGAGGACACATCAGTAAACTCTAAGACATGGCTGCCTTGTCTTCTAATGACTGATAATAACATCTGCCTCAAAGAGTTATTGTTACAAGTAAATGAGATAAG